GGTGCACTGCCATTGCGCCCGTCACCCTGAGACGTAAGTTGACAAGTCCCATGTGCCTGTAATTTTACCAGCACTCTTACCTTTCAGAACCGAAACTCAATCATGCTCACATTACAGCTTGGCGGCAGAAATAGGTAAGGTGGCAGTACTTCCCTGGACGAACTCTTTCACAAGGAGCTCTATTGTTACTTAAAAGTTTTCTTAACACGTTCCCTGTGTAACATTTGAACACGTTCATGTGAATTTTTTTTATTTTCCAAATGTGTTGGAATTGGTATATTTCAATAATTTTATGGAAAGAAAAATCATTTGCATAAACCCCCTTCCCATTTTCTCATTTTTCCCAAGTGCCCCACATGTGACATACGCACGTATGGGTTCTTTACTTGGTGCCACATAATATAATTATTTTAGTTGTGCTTACGTGGCTTTTTAATCTTTGTTTGTAGGGTTTTTTCACATTATTTTATTGTCCTTTTGTTTTTATTATTATGTGCGATATATGCAAGTCAATAATTGACCTGTTTAACTTGTAGTAAAAAAATAATAATTATTTTTGTATTTTATTTTGACAGTGATAATCTGGCAACATTGGTTTAAAAGTCATCTGGTACCACATGCTAATTGTCACAATGTTTGTGGTCCATACGTGCAAGTAAACAAAAATGATCTTGCTTACACGTGCAAATATTGTTTAACATTTATAAAGGGTTATGCATCCTATGTGATGCACTCACGTACCGTTTGGAACCTCTTCATTGTTTTGACCTTTTTATTGCTGTTCAACTGTTGACTTCGTCAAAATTGTGACCATGAATGAGTCACTGTTCTAAAATATCGGGAGAAAAATAAAAAGAAAACATACCGTATTAAGTAAACTGGAACTAGTGATGAGTGTGTGAAAAATTACCTACTCGTATTTAAAAACAGTTGTGCGAATGGCCCGTAGTTTTACGCATACAACCTTGTATTAATCAGAATAGTCGATCTTTACAGCACCTTTTTTTAGTTATAAAACCGGTCTGCCTAAAAGTGGACAAATAAATCAGAATAATATTTTTTACTATGTTTGTTTGGTTTCATAACTACAAAAGTGTACTAGAAAAGTCAAATAGAAACCAATTAAAAATAAACGAAAGCGAAATATCTCTGATACTATACAAACTGTTCATCATAACATAAGGCTCCACCCACGCTTGCGACTCGACGACTCGCTGAGTCGCACTTTATTTTACCAGATAAGCAGCGCGTTCAACCCGCTCCCTAAGTATACAGGTTGCGTGAAAAAAATTTGATGCCAATTATTTCGATTCATTACTATAAATTCAGAGGAAAATTT